CAAATTATGCTAATTTGTGATATTATTATGGGGCAAATATTGGGCAATAAGAATATTTAAGTAATTTCGTGTCATTGAAAACGGGACCTTATTTGCTTTACATAATTTTTTGCTATTCTTTGGTAAAGCATTCTTGTTTTTTCATATGGTCTAATTTGTTCGATTTGGAAGAATAAGGACAAAAATATTATCTTTCAGAGAAGGCAGTGCCTATTACTAACTCGAAATACACAACTCTGTTGAAAAATGTAGGTAAAATCCTCAAAATACCGAATAGAAAATTTTCGGTTATGGGAGGTAGGAACCATTACGACTGTCAAATACCACATTTGAAACCCTTCCGGTTAAAATTTATATGGAGGCTATACTAAAACGTGGATCTATATTAAAAGTCCTATGCAAAAATGTTTCCTTTATTCCAAGATCAGAAACTGCCAATTTACAGTGAATTCGGGTTAAAATTGTGATAAAAACAACGAAAAGACAATAAGTCTGCAGATATGAGGGGCTACATCAAAACGTTGACCTACATAGCCAGTTTTCAATACCAAAAGGTCTGCAGATCCTAAACACATCTAAATAAAATTGCATTGACTTACTTCACGGGCTGACAGACGGACATCGCAAATAGACATATAATTGTATGCTGATTGAGAATATATATTCTTTGTGGGGTCTAAATAGTTTATTTTAAGGTGTCACAACGGAAAGACAAACTTAATATACCTCTCATTCAATGGAGGAGGATATGAAAACAAGATTCAAGTTCCTGATTTAGATTGTATTAACTTAAGTTTTTCTCGGTATTCTGAAGGTACATAACATAGATCTATTCCAAACAGAAAGAAGAGATTGGATTCTTGGGCATTATAAAGATATACAGCCAATCGTCCGACAGTTACAGCTCATTATATTGTTTACAAGCGTACAAAAGCATTTTGCTGAGAATTTTCCAGAAAAAAAATTATTCGTGATAGAATTCAAGAGTGATAGTGTGATTTCTTTATATCTGGCTGGAAAACCACAAGTGGCTATCGTTAGAGCACTCCAGCATTTGAATGTGAATAAATCTTTTGTGTCTCATATCATCGCCTGTTACCGTGGTAGCGTAGCCCGATGTCAAGCAAATGGACGGAAGAAAACAGCAACATCAACAGAAATGGTTCGAAAAAGAAGCGACTTGATCGAAATCTGCGTCGCAGTGGTCGAAAAATGGATCGTGAGCCGAACATATAGCAATATTCCATTCGGCAAATATTGAAAAATGAGCCCGGGGTAAAGCGATTGAAATTCCAAAAAGTTCAAGAACTTACACCGCAACAGAAAGAAAACAGACACAAAAGAGCTTAAGAGTTGCTTCGCTTGGCCGAAAGTGGTGAACTGCCGAATTTAATTTGGTTTTCTCCGATAAGAAAACATTCGTTGTCCAGCAGTTTGTAAACAAACAAAATTATCTAAGTGTTTGTTTTCTCTTTCGAGACGAGCTTAATGATCTGAAATTTGCAGTGAAAAGGAAAGCCAGATAGACACTATCACACACTCACCACTATGCGACGCGTTTCGCCGTTGGTTAAGCGGCTCATCAGGCATATTTGATGTGGATGATGGCTTACAAGGGTCGTTCTCTGGAAAGTAGTATATATTTCGAACTTATTGCAAATTAGCATATGCGAATTATACACTAGAAACTCTCCAGGTTTGACTCAAGTTCTATTGGCAGATCTTTTTCACAACAACGTTTTGTTTTTGTAGTGATGGATTTTTTGTCCACAACAACAACATTGCTTCCAATGCATACACTTGTTTTAGTGTTGCTTTAGGAAGACGGGTTAATGGCTCTGAACGTAGAGACGGCAACTTCTAGTTGGCTGCACACAGAGGTCCGCGGTTCAAATCCCACAGCCAGGCTCGGCTGAATTTTTGAGTTTTGCCTTGTTAAGGCGAAGATCATATGTTTTATGATTTAAGTGTTTGTTTTCTCTTTCGAGACGAGCTTAATGATCTGAAATTTGCAGTGAAAAGGAAAGCCAGATAGACACTATCACACACTCACCACTATGCGACGCGTTTCGCCGTTGGTTAAGCGGCTCATCAGGCATATTTGATGTGGATGATGGCTTACAAGGGTCGTTCTCTGGAAAGTAGTATATATTTCGAACTTATTGCAAATTAGCATATGCGAATTATACACTAGAAACTCTCCAGGTTTGACTCAAGTTCTATTGGCAGATCTTTTTCACAGCAACGTTTTGTTTTTGTAGTGATGGATTTTTTGTCCACAACAACTACATTGCTTCCAATGCATACACTTGTTTTAGTGCTGCTTTAGGAAGACGGGTTAATGGCTCTGAACGTAGAGACGGCAACTTCTAGTTGGCTGCACACAGAGGTCCGCGGTTCAAATCCCACAGCCAGGCTCGGCTGAATTTTTGAGTTTTGCCTTGTTAAGGCGAAGATCATATGTTTTATGATTTAAGTGTTTGTTTTCTCTTTCGAGACGAGCTTAATGATCTGAAATTTGCAGTGAAAAGGAAAGCCAGATAGACACTATCACACACTCACCACTATGCGACGCGTTTCGCCGTTGGTTAAGCGGCTCATCAGGCATATTTGATGTGGATGATGGCTTACAAGGGTCGTTCTCTGGAAAGTAGTATATATTTCGAACTTATTGCAAATTAGCATATGCGAATTATACACTAGAAACTCTCCAGGTTTGACTCAAGTTCTATTGGCAGATCTTTTTCACAGCAACGTTTTGTTTTTGTAGTGATGGATTTTTTGTCCACAACAACTACATAGCATTATCGTTTTTACTTGCCAAAGAGGTCAGCTGAAAATGTGCACCTTCGGTTGGCAGAACTCAAGCGTCGGCAATGGTGATGGTGTGGGTCGCCATGACAGCCGATGGTCGCTCTCCGCTCGTATGAATCGACCATGGCATCAGAATAAATGTCGAATATTAGCGCGAAAATATTCTGGAGAGTGTATTAAAGCCTTGGCACGTAAACATTTTGCCGCAGACCTTGGACATTTCAACAGGACTCAGCATTTTCTCACTTAGAACGCGCCACCAAAGAATAGTTAGAAAATGAGGTTCCTCGTTTCATTTCCAGCGCACAATGGCCACCAAAATCTCCGGATACCAATCCGTTGGATTATTGTGTCTGGAGTATTTTGGAAAGCAAGGTTGGCACTAAATAATACCAAAGTATCGATCACCTCAAGCAAGCACTTCGCTGTGAATGCGCCAAAATACCGCAGAACAACATTCGGGCAGCGTGTGACGTTTTCATTAGCTGTTTGAGGGCCATAGTTCGTGCCAAAGGTGAGAACTCGCGTATCTTAATTTGTTTGCCACTGCTCTATAATTTAGGAATAAAGATAGTATAAAGAGAAGACCTTCACAGATCGTCTTCTTTAATTTTTTTTCTTTTGAGATATCCAAGTACAGAGAGGAATATTTCGGCGATCGTCATCTGAGGTATTAAGAGAAATATCTGTGAAGAGTGAATGATCTATGTTGCGTAGAGAAAACCTCGAGATTTTCGCATCATTTTGACTCTGTTGTATGCAAAGATCAAAAATCTGATTTGTACGCCATAAATTAAACCGGTTTCAATCCCCCAGGATTCAATCCCAACTTCCAGCTGAATTGACGATAGTTCGTAACTTTGGTCCGCAAATGAGAATTCTCCCTACGAACTCTTCAATATTTACCCACGGTTATCAAAAAGTACTTTATAACGATTCAGCGTTATCAAGGACCTGACTGCATTTTTAGCGGAAGAGACTGTAGTGATGACATATTCTAAAAAAAAATGCACAGATCCAGTTTTCCCAATTGTATTTTTGAATGTCATTGCCCAACTCCGATTTAAAGAACTGCTGCTCCATTTAATAGGTTGAAACCTCAACGAGCCTAACTTTAAGTGGTTTTAAGGCTAACATTTTTGGCTAAAAAAATATGGGGCTGGTCGATCTTCATTTCATTACATTAATTGATGTTAATGCTTTTGACAAATTGCAAAATTTCTTTGGAAGCATTTAAACATGCTTCGTAGTCCTGGCAGAACTTCTGTCACATTCAAAAAAGCATGTGTATAAAAATCAAGCCAATGAGCTCTATTGTGTTTTTAAATTATTTTCTACAACTAAAAAGCCAACTTGGCCGTCATCACACAGAACATCAACACAATCTTCTATGTGTTCATCAAGATCGTCTAACATTCAATTACCGTCAAACTGATCATCGATCCAGCCGATCAAAGATAGATCTGCCAACTAGCTTGTTTCCTAAATATAATTCAAAGCTTTATTCAAGGATATCGATTTCAACATTTTCGTTTGTCACAACGAATTTAATTAAGAGAAATAATTCCAAGTCCGCCCTTGATTTTTGTCGTTATAATCGGTAATTAAAACAGAAAGAAATAAAAAATCATGAATGAGTTGTCAGCCCATATTCTCGTAATTACTTGATACCTTCTTAAAAATTCGGACGCAATATAACTACGTGTATGTTTATTTTGTTTGCACTGCCATCATATTTTTGCAAAGATATGTTATCAGTCAACAACATTTCTTAAACACTGTCTCGAAATAAACAAACATATTGCTATTATTCAAAGCCAATTAATTCTACTGTATGCCATTATGCCGGATATACAATATTATCACATCACATAGTAAGCATGACATTTTGTTTCCGTATTTCGTTTCTGACCTACTAACAATTTCATCATTCACAGGTGTGGTCATAGTATCTGGATATGGTCATTAGCTAGGTAATGTTGAAAAGAACATAGAAATGGATTTCCATAATATGTACATAATCATACACATACACATATATTTGACATTCTATTAGCATTTACGTGTGTGTGTGTGAGTGCGAGTGTTATGTGCGTGGGTGTATGTATGCATATATGTGTGTACGTTGTTTTGTGCGGCAAAATGCCAATTTGATATGGCTATGGTTGCTTTCGCTACACACTTACCCAATATTTCAACAGTGTGAGTAATTTCACGTGGTTCCATTGTTGCTATTTGACAAATATAATCACCCGCATCCTGTGGCACAGCATCACGTATTTGCAAATTAAAACCATTCACCAAACGTACCCGAGGATCTGGGGTAACTTTAACAGAGCCAGCTGTTAATATCGCAATGCCACGTTTCCAGGCGACAACATAGGGATCTGAAAAGAACGAATGTGGAGAATTACAAAAAAACCAAATAAAACGAATGGTGCTTCTTTTATGATGTTCATATAAATTTTCATTTAAGACAATTAAAACTATAAGGAATTTAAAGTGGCAATTCCATTAATTTGGGCAAATGTGACTCGAAAGACAACTATAAATGGTAGCTATGGTAACTATGGCCACAATAGTAGGGGATATTCTATTAATCATTAACAGCTATGTAGCCTCTTATTAAGTTGAACAAAGAATTGATTCCTAGATACGTTTGGCTGATAATTTAGAATAATTTAACAAATAAAGAGTTTTGGTAATGGAGATATCTTCGGCTTGACCTATTCAAAACTTTAGAAACTAAGACAAAATAAATATGTTATTTGGGGTTTTGCAGTTCTCTAAATCTTACAAAATCGTTATGTTGGTATCATATCTAGCAACCTGACCTCACTGCATTTTATGCCAATACCAAGAGAGAGTAGACAAACCGCCTGTATGACTGAGTAGAAATACAAAAAATTCTTTCTACAGGGTGCGATAACAAACTGCATCAAAGTCAAAGCCAAAACTTTTACATTTTTTTTTAAATTTTATTGAACGAAAGCAAAAATGTCGGAAATACCATCAAATTTTAGAATAAGTTTAAATTTGTTCCAATTGTTCACGTTTGGCACGAATTATGGCCTTCAAACGGCCAATGAAACAGGTACACGCTGCCCGAATGTTGCTCTGCGGTATTTTGGTCCATTCCCGGCGAAGCGCTTGCCAAAGGTGATCGACACTTTGGTATTTTTTAGTGCTAACCTCACTTTCCAAAATACCGCAGACACGATAGTCCAACGGATTGGTATCTGGAGATTTTGGTGGTCATTGTGAGCTGGAAATGATGCGAGGAACCTCATTTTGTAACCATTCTTGGATAGCGCATGCTGAGTGCGATGGCGCTGAGTCCTGTTGGAATGTCCAAGGTCTGCGGTCAAAATGTTTTCATTCCCAAGGCTATAATATACCCTCCAGAATATTTTCGCGATAATATTCGGCATTTATTCTGATGCCACGGTCGATTAATACGAGCGGAGAGCGACCATCGGCTGTTATGGCGGCCCACACCACACTATGGCCGGCGCTTGAGTTCTGGTGGTCAACCGAAGGTGCACATTCTCAGCTGACTTCTTTGGCAAGTAAACACTATCATTTTGTTTGTTTACTAACTGCTGGACAACAAATGTTTTCTCATAGGCAAAAACCAAATTCGGCAGTTCACGAGTTTCGGCCAAGCGAAGCAACTCTTCTGGCTCTATTTTCTTTCTGTTGCGGTGTAAGGTCTTGCACTTTTTGGAATTTCAGTGGCTTTATCCCGAGCTCATTCTTCAATATTTGCCGAAATTAATATTGCGATATGTTCAGCTCACGAGCCATTTTTCGGCCACTGCGACGCGGGTTCCGATCAAGTCACTTCTTTACTTTTCGAACCATTTCTGCTGATGTTGCTGTTTTCTTCCGTCCACTTCCTTGACATCGGGCTACGTATCACGGTAACGAGCGATGGTACGAGACACAAAAGATTTATTCACATTTCTGACGCAAGGATGCTGCTGGAGTGCTCTAACGATAGCCACTTGTGGTTTTCCAGCCAAATATAAAGTAATCATACTATCACGCTTGAATTCCATCACGAACAACTTTTTTTCTGAAAAATTCTCACCGAAATGCTTTCGTACGCTTGTAAACAATATAATGAGCTGTCACTGGAATAATTTGAAAAGCCGTCGGGCGAGCGGCTTAGCAATGACAGCAGTCTGAATTTGGCTGCAGTTTTTTCATCTCAACAAGTATATCTTTGTGCATTTTTTGTAACATGCAGAAGGAAACGAATTATACCCATAGTTTTTATTGGTGATTTTCATAGAATCATATTTTGAGTCGCATGTCATTATGAACAGGTCGCATTTGTTACCTGATTGAGATGAATTTATTTTGGTGGAAGGACGGACCCCATTTAAATTTTTGACAATGGCATTAGATTTGATATAGTTTCCATATATAGTGTCCTCCGATTTCAAGTGCAAGGACGAACCCCATTTAAATGTTTAATAATGGCATCAGACTGGATATAGTTTCCATATATAGTGTCGTCTGATTTCAAGTGGAATCAATTTGGCACATGCGATTGAATTCAGCCTAGAAGCAAATATCAAATTTTGTGAAAATCGATTCAAATATATATATCTATATCTTCCAGATATATGGTTCCTCATATCACATTCGTAATATGCAATTCACAACAATGATATTTGATACCAGATAGCAGATATAGTTAAGAAATACATTTGCAAATTTTTATCGTGATCAGTATCTTTATCCAATATCAGGTTTATTGTACACCAAATCATTAATATCACCCAAAATTGGATGTAGGATATCATATAGTGGGCTCTTCCAACTTTTGTCCTTTCTTTACAGGTTTTTATTAGATTCAGCGGGTGTTAGCTTTAAATATTGAAACACCTAGGGTAAATATAAAAAATATATTGTAGAAACATATCAGAACCTAATATAGAATATATGATGGTTTCTGTTAAATATTTTTTTTATTTTTTTCTAAAACGAAATCTCAAAGAAATAATGTCCTGTACCACAGTATGGCATAGAGTATAAAACTCATTGTGCCATCTCTTTACTATGCTTGAAGTCCCATGTTTATACAAGATTATTTTCTTTTAATTTCATATTTCTATTTTGAGTGTAATTTATTCAACGGTTTCTTCCCAGCATACTACGTTCTCTTATTCTTCCAGCGAACCACAAGAAAAAATAACAGCAATTTTCACCCTAATCTTTTTGGGATTCATAAAGAAAGAACAAATCTAATTAAATTTCTTCTCATGACAACCGTTCATGTGACATGGCATGTTTCTGTACAACAGGCGGCTGTTTCAAGCATAGCGTATTGCGTAGTTTTCTATTTTTGTATGTACGGATGTTTGCTACTCTATCTTGCTAAAGCAATTGCTGCTGCTAAGGATGAAAAGAGTGTATCCACCAGCCGAAGCTTAATAAATTTATTGCTGGTACTCAGGGATACATCAAACAAATAACACCAAAAAAAAAAAAACTCTCACAAGTGGTTAAAATAATAGTCATACATCATCAACGTGCATGACGAAAAAAAAACGTTCCACCTATTTTGTTCCGGAAATGGAATGAAATCAATAATGTTCAATCAGAATTCATAGAAAAGTGCTCGAGATATGCAAATGAAAACGCAATCAAACATCCGCTACGAAGCAGACATACAGGGCATACTTAATCAGTCTAGGAACTGAGAGCTGATGGAGCATATACGATGCTTACCAATTTCGGAAATGTAGATAGGTATATGAGAATAAAATATTCGACTTAGAGTGTATATATTGCAATCATGTAATTGCTTGTAATATTAAAAAGAATTATTTATTTTAATAAAATAATTGTTCTTTGGAACATATTTATCTAAACTAAAAACACCTACTGATTTTTTTGTAGACACATTTTAAATATTAGATTTTCTTAGATATCAGCTAATTTTCTAAATTTCCATCGCCTAAGAGAAACTTAAATTCCGTACCAGTATTGAATTCAAAAATTTCTTGCATGAAAAAACAGAGCTAACTAAATTTTTTATGGGTTGTTTATGTGTACCTGTTAGCATTTCCTTGTTTCCCCTCCATATATATTTTTCTCTCTGTGGTATTTCTACGTCATTAGTAAATCCCCCCTTTGGTGTATTATGAATTAATTTTGTAGTCTGACTTTTAGATTATTTTCCTGGTTTTATTGTCAATAGCAGTCGTGGTGGGGTAGGGCATTTGTCGTACATAATATTGCGTGTTCATTACAATATGCTTTTTACGTGTACATTTGTAATACAAACGAATGGATAATGAATTTATGCACAAATGTGGATATCTGTTGAAGTTCACAACGAGCGGAGAAGGTGTTTAGGAAGGCCTCAAGTTGGCGTCAGAATTGCCAACTTGAGGCAAAGTCAAATTATATTAAGATTAGAAAAATATCAAGAAAAAAATTTTTATCTGGTGAGATATTGGGGAAATTTTAGGACTACAGAATCACAGTCGAGGTATATGAGATAGATTTTCGAAGGTTGTAAGTTTAGGATTCAACTTTAAATAATCCATAAAGATACTCTTTTAATGTTAATGATGACTTTACATAAATCTTAATATTCGGAACCGTGACACAGTGTAGAGTTTATTTAACGACAGATCATAAATTGGTACTGCAATCTCAGCAGTGAACAATATATCTATGTGTTATGTGGTATAATGGAACATTAATTAATTAATCAATAGTATGATACATCTGTATTTCCATAGCCATTCTCATTTGAATTTTTTGATTTCAGTTCATTAGGAATATCGTAGCTCATGGCAACTGGCCAATGAATTCCCAATGTTCAAAAATTGTAAAAAATGTCAAGGAAATATACAACCATATTCATCAAATGGTCTGTGGATGCACCCGCAGAAACGATAGGTCTCTTTCTATATTTTTCCAACTATTTTTACAGTAAAAGTCGTCTGTACAGGGTGAGATAAAAAAACTGCAACCAACTTCAGACTACTGTCATTTCTAAGACACTCCTCCGACAGCTGTTAAAATTATTCTAGTGACAGATTATTTTATTGTTCACAAGCGTACAAAAGCATTTTGGGGGGAATTTTCCAAAAAAAAGTTATTCGTGATGGAATTTAAGCGTGATTTCTTTGTATCTGGCTGGAAAACCACAAGTGGCTATCGTTAGAGCACTCCAGCAGCATCAGTGCGTCAGAAATGTGAATAAACCTTTTGTGTCTCGTACTATCGCTCCTTACCGTGATACTGGTAGCGTAGCCAGACATCAAGGAAGTGCACGGAAGAAAACAGCAACATCAGCAGAAATGGTTCGAAAAGTAAAGAAGCGACTTGTCGGAACCCGCGTCGCAGTGGCCGAAAATGG